TTTAGAAGGGTCTCGCTTCAAATTAGTAAGTAAATAATGGTTGCTTTACATGTTTAATAGAATTAATTAAATAATATCAAAAGATGACTAGCAGAAGGGGTAGTTAGAAAAGTCTGATGAATTTGATCATTCTTGAAGTAAGTTTCTAATATAAATATAACCTTTTGCTCTTGTTATAGATGGTCAAACACTTGATTTTGTTCTTGACAAGAAATTGAGGGGGATTTTCCTTGAGCTTACAACTATATGCAAAGTGGTTATTTGTTGCAGAGTATTACCACTTCAAAAAGTACTTGTTGTAAAATTAGTGAAGTATCACCTTAAAGCCATTCTTTTGGTTATTGGTGATGGTGCAAATGATGTTTCAATGATTCAAGCAGCTCATATTGGTGTTGGAATTAGTGGTCTTGAAGGAATGCAAGCTGTTCATAGTGCAAATGTATATTATTTATAGATTTTGTATTGGGTATCAATATGTGTTTTTTATAATGACTTGATTTTAACAAATGGACAAGTGGCAGATCACTGGTTTTGGGGTACGGCACTGTACACAGCAGTTTTAGCAACCGTTTTAGAGAAAGCTGCATTAATAACGGAGTATATATAAAGTTTTTTTTTAAATTATTCTATTAATATTTATTAATTTACAAATTTATAGACAAAATATAATATATTGCTATTTCTGGATCATTTGTTTTTTGGATAGTCTTTATTTTTGTTTATGGTCTGATTGCACCAAGATTTAGAATCTCAAAAGAATATGATGGCGTTATTCCTAAATTATTCACAAGTCCTATATATTATTTATTCGTCTTGTTGGTTCCAGTTACATGTTTATTGCGAGATTACGTGTAAAAATAGTAAGTTTATTATTAACATATTTATTTTTTTCATAAATAATAATATGTCTTATATATGATGATATTTAATTACTAATATTTATTTGTTAATTTTAGTGTAAAATGCATGTACCGTTCAAGAACATATCATACTATACAAGAAATTCAAAAATTCAATATACCAGATTATTGTTCACGTGCGAAACAAGTCTAAAAAGTGATACGAAAAGTCTGTGCAGTACAATGCTTATGAAAAAGTCATAGTTTTGTATTTGAGAATGGGTAAATAACATTTACTTTTTTTTCTTTTTAAAACCTTTTGGATAATTATACATAAATCATTTATTGATCATAATAAAGAAAATATATTGTGGGAATTTTCAAAGCCAATTAAGAACTATATCTTTAAAATTAATATTTAAAAAGTTCGCCAAGAATAAGTTGATAATTTTTTTTATTAAAAATTTTTTTCTAAATTGGTCTATTTTTATCTTATAAGTAACTAAACTTTTTTTCTTATAATATAAAATTAAATACTGTTATAATATAATCTTTATTTTCAAATATTATTAAAAAAAATTTATTTAAATATATTAAAATTTAAAAAAAATAGATCATAACCATATTTATGATAATTTTCCAGACAAATTTGCCTAGAAAAGCCTACAATTTAAAGGATAATTTATATATAGAGAATATGCCCTGGACATGATAAGAGAGGACATGTCTCAGTGTGAGGCATGCCCAAATTTTTTGCCATGCCCCAACCCTATAAAAATAGTATATCAAACAAGTATTAAAAATCCACAGATCAATAACAAAAGTTAAAAAAAAAAAGAAATAATCTGCTTGTAAAATAGATATACTAATTAAAATCCTAATAAAATATTGATACAAATCTAATTCAAGATATATTAGCAAAAAGATCAAAATTAGAAAAAAAAAAATATATATAATATTAGAGATAGTAAAAAAAATCTTAGTAGAATTGTTAGAAAACTGAAAACTCTTTGTTAAAATACAAAAAAAGGTTTTAAAAAAAAAACCAAGTTCTAGAAAAAAAAAAAAAAAAAAAAACTTAAATTCAGGATATAAAAGAAAAAAATTCTAAGTGAACTAACCAAGATCTAGAAACAAAAAAACAAAGAAACAACCCAAAACAGTTAGAAAAAAAGAAAACCTACAAAAAAATACTTCTAAAAAAGACTCTTAGAATAAGCTTTTAAGAAGAAAAAAAAGAATACGAAGCTACAAAATAAAAAGAAAAGTATAAAGAGAAAAATATAAAAAAACTCTTAAAAGCTGAAAAGAACAGATTGAATTAGAAGAAAAGGAAAAAGAAGCACAAGTATGATTAAAAAAATTTTGACAATATCCCTTTAGAGAAAGATTAATAAATTGACAATGTCACATGATTTCGAAACTTTTTTTGGTGGCGATTTTATCCCAGTCCAAATTTATATTGCCCGGCCAAAATTACGTCTTAATTTTGTCCAAAATTCGTATTGTTACGCCGATTAAAAATTGTAAAAATACCAAAAATATCGGTTTATATTTTTATATATAAATAATCGATGCAAATCGATATTTTTTCACGCCCCTGAATTATAATATTTGTCGTATGACTAGTCAATGACTGTGTTGGTAATTACTATTTTTGACATGTTTTGGATAGCTTTACATATGTTCGAAGCCTTGTCCAAAAACTATTTTTGCCAATGGCATACCTATAGTATGGCATCGGTATGAATTTTGCAAATAACATGACAAATTCTTTAGTTGTGTCAGGTAGCAATAAACAAAGGATTTAAAGTTCTGATTTTCACATGTTTAAAAGTAGGACCCATATTAAATTCGCGTATATTAGTGAATTTTAATTTTTTAGGGAAACATGTTAATCGTATCCCATAAATTATTCAATCACAGCTGTAAATCATTTTAATTGTCCTTTATCATTACCCTAATACCATCGCGAATTAATATTTTTTCGTCGAACCTATGAAAAAAATCATATTAAAAGTGAGTCAATTTATTAAAAACGATTTATAGGACTATTATTGCATACCGATGGTTTTGTTAGAAGAATTCCTATAACCAATCCTAAAATGGTTGCTAATAATGTTCCCTTGCTAAAGTCTTCGCTTAGAACATCAAAGGTTTTGGAAGGTGCTTCTCGCGTAAACCACAAATCTAAACCATATGCAAGTACAAGTGAGGTTGATTCTAAAAGAGCAGGTGATGTTGTAATATGACGAATTCCGTAAATCTAGACAAGAATATCTTAATGAGTAAAATTTAAACAAAATAAAATAATTTAGCGCAGGAAAACAATATACCGGTAGGTTATAACTTAAAATAAACTTTTTATTATCAGAAATCGCTGGTTCATAAGGTATCAGCATTTCTTCCTTGTCTTCATTCGTTAGAGCACGTTGTGGTCTTCGTGGATCAAGAAATCTTTTAGGTAAACCGAAAACTTGACCTGTATCCAGCGCAACTACAAATCCATTTGTTTGTTAAAATGATAAAAGTAATGGCTTATAAATCTATGCAATATATTAAGTGACATACATAAAAATTCTCGTATCGGAATGCCATTCTTAGTTGTTGTAACACCAATAGTCCTGACTCCATAAGGGAACATGAATACTTGAGCGTTTACATACGGGCGTTCATTCGCAAATGAAGTAAAGTTGTGACTAAAAAAAAATAAAAAAAAATAGCACGTTATATTATTGCGAATTATTATTAATGTATTTTATGACATAAACATACGTATCAAATCTTTCATCCG